TCTATGGTGGGGAACGAACGCGCTATTATCCTGTCCGGGGAGTAACGCGTTCACCACCGCACCATGCGGGTCCTTCGTTTCGCCTGTCCCTCAGCTATTTCTATCGATCTTTTTGATATAGCAATCACCCGTCAATTACAGCTACAGCTTAACTGGGTTCTATGCCAATTTGCGCTCTCCAGATCAACCCCGCTGACGGGTGATTGCTGTGGCAAAAAGATCGATAGAAATAGCTGAGAGACAGGCGAAACGAAGGACCCTCATGGTGTGGTGGTGAACGCGTTACTCCCCGGAAAGGACAATAGCGTGTTCGTTCCCCACCATAGACACCTGCGGTCCAGCGTTTTGCAAAAATCACTGTAACTGTTGCAGGTTATTGGTTCAAATGCTATTTTCCTAAGAATAGATAGAATAAGGTCTTTTCCGAAAGTCTGGACTGAATAGATTGCAAGAGGAGGGCACCACATCGAGAGTACGAGGAACTGTGGACACCGACTCGGATCGTCGGCTCTGAGGAAGACGAAGAGGTCGTTGGCCGGACAAAAGTCTCGTAAGAACCTCGTGCAAGCTGGGCTTTGAACATGTGTTTATTCAAAGCAGTTTGAAATCTTGTCTGTTTTTTGTTGTTTACAATTCCTTTTCCTGTTTTAAAATTGTTTGCACTTATTATGCTGGACTATATTATGAACATTTAATAGCAAGGACATAAGAATGGAATGTTAGAAGCGTGAGGTCTACGTTGAATCTAAATGGATGATCAACAAATTTGAGTTGTCACATTCTATGAGCACCTCTTCCACACTATTCCACCGTCGAAAGGTGGGGAGATCGGTGGCTCATTTGGACTGAATGCAACTAAACAAAAGATGTGCTATTCGTATGAATGCACTTCCACGAGGACGATATGAGCTGCAGTGTTCTGCCTAAATCCTGCATGTTACACTTGGCAGCGTTATTCTGGAAAGCGAGTATGACTTTCCCTGAAGTCGAGAAAGGGAATATGGGCTTGCCTTCATAACTGACCGGCATCTTAGATCTATAAGCTAGGTAGGTTTTTGTTAGAAAGCTCACGTTCTGATCGAGCACGACTAGTCCGAAGAAATCGACTTTTCTGAACTTCCGCTGTTTCACCTCTACCGTGGCTTTAGGATTGATTGTGATTCGAGTTAAGAGATGGATATGCTGCTAGTATAACCCACTCAACATTTTGTTCTTTATATTCTTGTTTACCAAACACGAGGTGTTGTATTATTTCTTTATTTACTCTCAAGCTAACGTTTCAGTGGATTTCGCTTTCCTCAGGGTCTGGGAAGGTCAAGTTGACTGCAATCTACCCAGCCAAACACTTAACAACCAAGCAGAGAAAATGATAAACCAAGATTTCAATCACATTGAACACAGAATAGCTTCTCTGCACACTTACCGATTTCTATGAGTCTTACACTAAATATGTCACGTGGAGACCAACTGCACAGAGTTCACATGGAAGCGTAAAGTGCCCCTCCCATCAGAATAACAGGCTTATTATACTGCCCAATATCATGCGTGATAATGAGGCATTCTTCCCTGCGGTTCAATTTCGGGTTTCTGGAGATAGTTCAGAACGCTTTGAGAGTTTTGCGCGCTTGTGTTCTCGATTCCTGTGCTAGGATCGTGAGCCATACTTGAAAGTCATCTCCGTTATGTCTCTAGGTCCCATGCGTGCCTAGTGGGGTATTTGGTTTACGTTTGCAGACTAGGTGTTCTTTTATACGGACACAGAGTGGTTTACCCGTTTCGCCAATGTATTCGTCTCCGCACGCCTTATAGGAAACCAGATAAACTGTGCCCGAGCTCATGCAATCACCGACTCTACCATTAGGCCAAATTATGCAATTTTGTCTTGTGCATAGGCGGTCATATAGGCGGTAACGAAGTAACTGGCGTCTAAGAGTACTCGGTGGCATTTCGATTATCGTTACCGAATTCTCTAGACTGGCCCTTCTTAAACAGCGTTTTATAGCTGCACTTACTTCATTTGAAATGAAGGGTAGTATAAGCGGGACCTTGTTGTTGCTAGAGTTATCGTTGGGGTACCTGTGGTTTCCTCTACACCTATCTCGAGCTACAGTTTCGTAGCCATTAAAAATGGCTATTTGCTGCGCCAAGTTCCGGGACTCCTCTCTCTGTTGTCTTCTTGTGCACACGCTGGTAGCTGTTCAAAACATGTTTCTCACAAGCGCCCTTTTCGTGTGAGAGGGATGAGAGGAGAGGTAATGAACTAGGATGCTTTTACTACTTGGCTTTCGATACCACTTCGTAATGTAGCCGTTTTCTGATAGGCTAATTTGCACGTTCAGGAGACCAGATAAACTGTGCCCGAGCTCATGCAATCACCGACTCTACCATTAGGCCAAATTATGCAATTTTGTCTTGTGCATAGACGGTCATATAGGCGGTAACGAAGTAGCTGGCCTCTAAGAGTACTCGGTGGCATTTCAGTTACGGTTACCAAGTTCTCTAGACCCGCCTTTCTTAACCCAATTTCAACACTTTATGTCTTTCCATAGCAAGAACATGCTAGTTTGCATGAAATTCAATCAATCGAAAATTATTGCTTTCTCATTCTTTCACTCGCACGAGAATTACACCTCTTGAGAGTCGCTGCAGACAAACCAGTTGGCCAGCGTCGAACTCTACACGGAGCAACTACACTGCCTATCCGTCGTCGCCAGGATGGTACGCTTTGTTTTAACCCACATTGTAATAGTGATTCACAAAGTGGTAGGAGAAATGAGTTGGGCTCACTGAATACAAAAATATGCTCATCGCCTTCAAATTTCTAGTGGTTTTGGGTCATGAAATGTCAATTGAGTGATGACACAGGAGTGAAACCCAGAAGGAATCCTCAAAAATTTATCGAGTTTCAGCGGCCGTCTTTTGGTAGAAGAAGATCCAGTACACGGCATCCTTAAACCAGCCGAGCACGGAAATCTTATGGTAAATAGATGTTTGGCTAACGTTACCTTCCGAGAACATATTCAGATTCTTGGATACTTGAATGGTCCATCTTCGCTGGTTGTGCGGACTATAGCATAATTTCCATCTTTTTTTGGAGTTTTGCTGGTTTAGCCATTGTGGTTTCCTGGAGTTCCGAGGTCAGTTTAGCCATAGTCTGTCCCAGGTCGTCACCACCTCAAGCAGTCGCCGCACTTGTGGATCAGAGAGAGATTTGCCACCGTGCGACTCGTTTGATACCAGGACAGTAGTGGATCCTGGTACTGGTTTACTTTTGGCTGTGCTTCCTTTTGGAAACGACGGACTCCTTCTAAGCTTCGGATGCCCTACTGGGGGTATGAATACCCTTGCTGCGCACCGCAACCCGACATCCAGGAACACCTCCCAGACGATGAGGCGGTAAATCATTGGGAGCCTTTTGAGAATGTAGTGTCGAAAACTAAAATTTGAGAGAAAATCGGTAACTGATTTTAACCAACACCATGAAACGTTTGAAAAAGAAGAAGAAGAAGCGAAACAAAAACAATGGTAGATTTCGTCTACTTGGTAAAAGCTGTTCATCGTGGACGTAAACCAATCTTTGTTTAATACTAAAGGGAAACATTTTTTGTATCAAAGCGTAAAGAGAGCGGCTGATTAATAAAGAAGTCAAAACACCGACTTTACCTCTGCAGAGATTCTTTATATATTTATTTATTTTTACGAACTGTTCTTCTTTAGATGATGCGAGTTTGGTGTAGGTCTTCGATGTCGCTGTCATTGTCGTTGTTGTTGGTGTTGTTGGTCGATGGCTGACGTTTCAGCGATTTCGCCTTCCTCAGAGCCGTGATGTTACAAGTGGGAGTGAGAGTCCAAAACAACGACAACGAAGACCTATACCAACCTCGCATCGGCTAAGGAAGATCAGTTTATAAGAACATATAAATAAAAAAGATGATTAATAAAAGTTCTGAATTGCCTCTGGCTTAACAGAAGTATCCGTCAGGTTTCATATAGAGGAAAAAGGAAGCAATTTGACCATTACCGTTTTATGTAATAACTCGAAAGGCACAAAAACGACTTGTTTCCACATGTTACTGCATAACACCTTAGATCTTCAGGGCTCACGGAAAATCTAGAATTTACTGCGACTGAGCCAGACTTCTCAACCTTTAATGGACTTCATAATGATATCGAATGCTAAAAGTGTCATTATCGAAACGTACGAATGGCAGACTTACCTTTCATTGAAGCCTGAAGCTGGCTCATGTCACCTCGTCCCTGTTGGATCGCCATGTCGCTGTCCACGCAAAGTTGTCGACATTCGTCAGCGCTCTCGAAGCGATTACCGTTTCCGTCACAGCCGTTGAACATAAACGGTTGACACATTTCTGAACCACAAAAGAATATTGAAGTAACTAGTTTTTCGATGTTGATGACGTCTCAAATAAACCATCGTTGAGAAGAGAATGGAAGGTTCTGCGTAACAGCAATAGATTTTGCGTTTTCAAACTGAATCAAGATTTTCTGGAAGGTCACCGACTTTTTATAAAAAAAAAACCCATTGAAAAACATAGGATACTTTTTCGAAGCTCAGTAACTGTAATCTACCTCCACATAAATTCATGAACTGCTTATGTTTCCAAAGTTAGTGCTTGGACACTTGGATGGCCCGTCCTCAATGGTTGTGCGGGTCCTTTTGTGCGTTGTGCGCAATCTCCTTTTTTCGGAGTTTTGCTGGCTTATCCATTGTGGCAGCCTGGATTCTTGCGGTCAGCCTGGCCAGAGTTTGCCTCAGGTCGTCGTCAGTATAGGTAGTCGCCATTACTGTGAATCAGTGGATGATTTGCCACCACGCAACTAGTTTGATACCAGGACGGTGGTGGATCCTGGTATTGGTTTACTCTTAGCTAGGTTTCTGGAAACGGAGGACTTTTTCTTAACCTGGAAGAACCTGCCTCTCCTCTCTCTCTACATCGCAGTCCTACAGCCAGGAACACGACCCAGTTGTGATGAGACGGTAATCAGTTGGAAGGATATTTTCAAACTAATTATTCAAATAGCAAAGAATAAACACCGAAGGTATTCGAAATTGAAACTGCATAATAGAATGGGTACGCTCTACAGAGTTTGATCATCTACGAAACAGTACAGAATCGTCATCAGTAGAATTAAGTCAGTTAAATAAAGTCGTCAACACTTCCTAATAGAAAAAAGCCTACTTTGATCAGCATTGTAGTAAAACATCTGTTTTTGTGGTGCTGTTGAACAAAAACTTCCTTCTGTTTTCGGTGCTGAACAGTCCTTTGGCTGATCATCGTTCTGAACTGATTTCAGCACTTTAGCTTGAGCATCGACCTCATCATCTCCTTGATCCGATTCTTCGGCCAACTCCTGATCCAGCTCAAACTGATGGTGCTGAAGTTGATCGTGTTGCCAACGATGAATTTTAGCACGGTATTCATTGTTTTCAGGATTGGGCGGAGGTTGAGAAATGCTCTCGGGCTCGTCAAACTGGTCAGATTGTGACCGCCGGGCTCGTGAACAGTTGGAACTATAGACCAAATGTTCTGGATGTTCTCCTGAGCCTGTAATATTTTCCTCAATCAAGTGATTTCCATTCATATCACCTTGTTCGTGAATTTGATGGCTTTCGAATATGTTGTCAGAGAACACAAGCAGTATCAGCGAGCAGGTGACAAAGATCAGCGCGGTAGATGACATCGTCCTAAAAGTGTATTCTTTCCATTTTTTCTTGTTAATAAAGAGTATCTAAAGTCCGATAAACATGTTAAAAGTTCTCGGTCAAGAAGTAGTAATCTTGTGCTCTGGAATTAAATCTAACTACCAAAATAATTTGCCTGTGAACATGAAGCGACAATCCTCCCTATAACAGCTTAACATTTCCGTTCGTTCTAAGAGGGTAGTGTGCGGCACAGTGGTCTGAGGCGCCCTGCAGCACACACGTAGAATCGATCCCGGCGCCCATGGCCCACCAAGGTTTCCATCCCGCCGGGTTGGCAGATTGGTGCCAGACTTGTTTGAGAGGATAGCATCACTGGCTCGATACATCGGTAGGCCACCGCGCCTCATTGCGAAGGCCAGATATGCATTCAATCACATCCAAACGATGGTTAATGAAGTCAAATGCATGGAGCATCCCTCAGGGATTGATCAATGTCAAGAGTTTTATCCTTTATTTTCTTCTTTATTCCTTTTAAGTGTTCTGCTGAAAGCGTCAGCTAATTCCCTGAGGCTTATCAAAAGTTTAAGGACACTGCTTCTACTAAATCGAATATTGCCCGAGATTCACAAGTAGAAAGGAAAAGGAAAGTCTTTGGATTACTGTATGAGGTTTTGCTCGTCTACTTAAAAATTAGGTTCTCTCTAAAAATTCTGAAACCAAGGCCACTTCAGCGGAATAAAAGAGCAAAATTTGCACTCAATGAGCAAAGGCAGCAGTCGTTCTGCTTCTTGATTCGTTCAAAGTAGTGACTGCTCCAGCTGACAGAATTACTTCGTAAGTTAATATAGCAAAATCTTTTTTCAATCAGTCAAAAAGCCTACCTATTAAAACGAAGTTGAAGTTGAATGGTAAGTAACTGGAGAAATACGGAAACGATGTCATTTAGAAAAGTGTTTGCTCAGCAAACATACTGATATGTCGTAACATTCCCGTATTCAATGCTATGGTACTTGTGAGTCAACACACACAGCGCTTCTAGAGGGAATGGATCAGTAGTGCATTGCTCATTGATGACCATAATGTATATATGTATGTATGTATGTATGCATGGATGTGTGTATGCGTGTATGTAGGTATATATGTATAACGTTTGTATGTATACACCTATGTATGTATTTGTCTTTGTACGTACTGTGTGAATATGTGTGAATTTATGCGTTTCTGTATGTGTACTCGCACTGGGATTGCACTATGGTTCCCAATGAATAACAAACACGTAGAATATACTGGTTTTGTGTTAGTCTGAGGTGTGAATCGCTCTGATCGATGACCTTTGGTACCTTCGTGAACTTCGCCTTCCATTAAGACCAAAAAATGATTTGTTCTTCTGGGAATGATGTAGTCGATCCCCTATCACAACCAAAGCGAGCATTACAATGAAAAAGTACTTTACTTGGATACTTGGACAGTCCGTCATCACTGGTTGTGCAGGTCTAGCATAATATCTATTTTTTCGGAGTTCTGCTGGTTTACCTATTTTCGTTCCATGGAGTTGCAAGGTCACCCAGGCCAAAGTCTGTTCCAGGTCGTCACCGCCATGGGCAGTCCGTGTGGACCAAAGGAAGATTTGCCACCGTACGATTAGTTTAATACCAGGGCAGTAGTGGATCCTGGTATTGGTTTACTCTTAGCTGAGCTTCCTAACGGAAACGCCAGACTCCTTCTCAGCTTGGAAGACCATGCCAACGAGTTGAATCCCCGCTGTACACCGCAACCCGACACCCAGGAGCACCTCCAAACTACGATGAGGCGGTAAACAGTTGGGAGGTAAAAAATTAGTTTACTATAACAAACTTGGAAGAAAAACTTTAGAAACATTATGACAAACGTATAACGAACCACGTCGAAAACTTCAAAATATATCGGGATTAACTTCAAAACCTTCTGACTGTTTGCATAACGGATTGAAATAAAAAGAAAGGACTACTCAGAAAGATAAATTAGCACAAGGCGAATACGTATTAAAAGCATAGCGCACAGCACTTTTAACAAGTCAGAAGCCTATTTGAATTTTAGAACCTTGGCATAAGAATATCCAGTGCTGTTGATAAGACTCCATGAATATACGGGATAAACGAACGATTGATCGATTGAATTTCATGATTCTTCTGATCACTATGACCACAATAGAATCAGCACTATATTAGTCATATTGATTTTACTTTTCTAAATTTATTACATAACAATGTTGTAAGTGGAAGACGATTTCGGTTACGCGTATTTATCTGTATTCAATTTTGTTGCTTTGGAGTGTTTCTTTATTACTGTTACGTAACTCGACTTCGCATATATCACCCTTGGTGACCCCAGGAAATCCTTAACTCAGGTCATCTCCTCGCACTCACCATGCGCGAAGGTCTTCGAATTTCCTTTCGTGTAGTTTCGGTTGGTTCTCAAAGATTCTTTCGTCATCGCCACCAATGTCGTGAAATGTAGAATTGATTCTCGCTGAAATAACCATTATAGGGCGTTCCTACGTAGATTAGAGGAAATGATCTTGTCTGAGACAATTCTGGAAACAATTTTCCTATCCCAGAAGGAAGAGGGGCTTGGTGGCCTCGAGGCAAAACCTGGGTCTAATGCCGATTTTTACTCTTCACATCATTCCTGTTGGGAGTAATTGTTGATAGTGGTATCGATGGAATAAAAAACTTGCAAAGAGAAAGGCAAAGCAAGTGCCTCGGTTGGTAGAGTGGATAAGCACGTCAGCTGCTAAAAAGGGTAGTTGAGAGTTCAAAGCCCACTTGAAGTCCAGAGTTTTGCCCATATTTTGAAATCTCTTTTTCAATTTGTTTTTGGAAATACAAACCATCTCTGCGACGACTTATAAATCAACCACCGGTGCATCGAGAAGTGATCGAACGAAAGAACATCCACGATATACACTTTTGTAGCCTTTTTAAATATGAAGTCCAGAGTTTTGCCCATATTTAAATATGTGTGTGAGATTTTTTCGAGTATTTCCTTTGAGAGTATTTCCTGTATGGTGGACTTTCTCCTATGGTTTGTAGCAATTTAGTAATACGCTGATACTATTTGCTATTTTTAGGTGAATTCTTATCGCTCCATAAATAATCCAATGGTGGGAGAAGTCACCAATTTAGTTGATCCCTTTTCATACTCTAATGTTATGAATTATATAATAGCCCTAACGCTTATAGTAATAACCCAATCGGGCGAATAGCACAGTGAAAGTGATGTCCGTCATCACGAGCATGGTGCTGGTCCGATTCTTCTCCGTGCTGACCAAGCCTCTCATTTTTCCGGGGTCGGGGATTTGGTACTGAACTTATCAGGGAGAAAAATCACTCTCTGCTATCAAATTGGGAGTGCTCTAACCTGGCTTTATCAGGAGTCCAGAGAGAATCTACTGGGAAAACATTCAACAACTTTCAAGAAGAAAAGGGAAATCCTCAAATAGCAGGCGAAGCTACACCAAAAGTTTTGAAGACCTCCGTGGACGATGGATGCGAGGAAACGAATTGAATGTGAGAAGTGCTAGGATTCGCGCAGTAGACGTGAAGACGGGTCAAATAAAATAAAGTAAAGTAAAGAAATAATAACAACCATAGTATCACAATGTAGAACTTTTTGCATACTGCCTATTCTTTTTTTCATGACGCGGTATGTTGTGAAATATAACCACAATGGTGCTGAGATATTTGCAAAACTCCAAACAGCGGGTGTATGCGCTGAGGATCGAATACGCTATTACTCTTTCCGCGAGCTAATGTGTTCACCACCACACCATGCGGGTTCTTCGTTTCACCTTTATCTCAGCTGTATTATTAACATATAGATGCTATCAGCAGTAATCCGTCAAGGGGACTGGTCTGAGGAGCAAAAATTGGTATTGAAGCAAGTTAAGCTGATGTTGTAGTATAAATCATAACACAGTACTTTTATGTACTACCTGTTCCTTTTTCATGGCAGGGCATGATACGAAATTTTCATCGTTATATCACAGATATCATGTGATCGTATTTCACATCAAACCCTAGTACCATCGGGTTAATTTTATTTTGTCTTTTCTAAGGTCATCATCTTTCACAGAATGAATTGATATTGATGTCCTGGTTTCGCCTTAGTGTAAGCAAATTGGTGGTTATCGAACACTCTAGAGAATTTCCAACAAAGAAAAGTTGGATGCTCTACTATGGCGTTCGCACGAATGAGAAGGTAGCGTTGGATTTACACTCTTGAAAATATAAAAGTCAATAGGTGTTTAAATGACGCAGTTGCCACAAACCTCAACGGAGAGCCCGTATTAGAAAGGGTAAACGAAAAAGTCTTGTCGTGAAGTTCAACCGGATCTAGAAAAAAGTAGAAAAAAAACTCTCAGCGATGATCAATCCTTGAGTGATACTCCATTCATTCGACTTCATTAAGCATCGTTGGAGGTCATTGAATCTATATTTGGCCTTTACAATGGCTCCCGGTGGCCTACCGATTTATCGAGTCAGTGCTGTTAGTCTCCCAGACAAGTCTGATACCAATTTGCCAACTACGGAGGGATGGAAGGCATGGTGAGCCATGGGGGCGTGGATCCATATCAAGTGTGTTGTAAGGCGCCTCCGACCATTGTGCCACACGCGTCCTACAGAAAGCGGTAATCTACTGAAATTTCTGATATTTTCTGTACAGTTTTTTTTCTATGAAGACGGTGGCTCATTTTTCACCGTAATTAGATGCAATCGTCGTATTCAGATACATGAACTAAGCAACTTTTTCTAGTTGCGTCATCTCTAGATTATGAATATGGGACATGGCACCCGATATTGGTTTCTCTAGAACTGGCAATACTTTTTCCATAGAGTCGCAGGAACGAAGTTTTTTATACCTGGGCGTTGATCAATAATACACTGTTTTCTTGATGAGCCAACACGAGATTGTTATTACTCCATTTATTCATTTACATTAGCTGATGTTCTGGTGGTTTTGTCTCTCGTTTTTCCCTCCAGAGCCGGGAAAGAACAAATTCACACATAACCTGCTCAGCCAAACGCTTTCATAATCTCAGCGGACAAAAAAATAACCTTCAAATTTTTTTCATCCGCATAATAAATAGCTTCTTTTAAACACCTCCATCTTAACTCGTATTTGCTGCCTATTGTTTATTCAGGGCAAGGTATTATGTTAAATACAATCACTAGGATGTTGTTATATGGACAAAACACAGAACCTTAATTGCGCTTCGAACCCGCGATTACCTCTTCCGGAGCTCAGGTGTTATCCACTGCAATAACCAAGACCTCCGATTTACCTTTCTATCAGCCGGTTTTTCCCCAGTTGTGCTGTTAGCAATCATCCGTTAGCAGAAATGGTCTTAGGAGCACTAATCGGCATTTAACACTGTTAAGCTGAAGGTTGAGTTGAAATTACAACGCTTTAACTTTCATCTACTACCTATTCATACCACTGACCGCTTTGTTCTTTGTAAATCTTTGTAAACCTGTTATTTGGTGAAGACTAACTCCACAGGGTTCTACATTTGTAGGTAATGTGCCTGGCTCAGATAAAAAAATCAGCCTGAGGTGTGGCAGGAGGTCATACGTGATCATTGGGAACCTCAACTTGCGGTTCATTTTTGGATCCTTGGAATTTATCCAAACCGCTTTAAGAGTTCTGCCGGCCGACATTGTTGATTTCTGTACGACGATAGTGAGTTTTGCTTCAAAATCTTCTTCGTTGCGCCTTCGCCAGCTATTGCGAATGAATAAATACAGTAATAGCTACATAACTAGGATATGACTCGAAAAACGGGATTTTGTAGATACTTCTGGCTTTGGAACCTAGTAACGTTGCTCTATATTCGGCAATTTTTGAACCGTATTTAAAAGGTTTTTTACCCCCAAAGTTCACAAACAAATTCACATTTCGGCAGATTTTGAATTCAGTGCTCCAGCGCCGAACCTGGTTTTTCGATAATCGACGAATAATTTCCAATCACATTAAAATTCTGAGAGCTCAGAACTATAAAAAAAAACTTTGCTGTAACGCATTAACCTCAAAGATAATTTTTATCTACAGATGTCCCTCACTCAAGGATTTACAGCCCATCAGGTGCGAAGATGGAGTGGAGCGCCACTCTGGCGGATGGAAGGTTGATCAATATCGGCATCGGCAATCTTTGTCGTTTACGCACCGACATCAAGCTATGACGAAGACGAAGTCGAAGCGTTCCACATGGACTTTGAGAAGTTCTACAGAAAAGACCATACTTTTTTAAATGTCATTCTGGATTTTAAGAAATATGCAATTATTTTACAACTGTTGTAATGCTCGCATTGTTTTCTCTAGGGTGCATGTTGCGTAACGGTAAGAGCTCTCCTGCAAAACAAACATGCTTTTTGGTTCGACCTAACGGTCAGAGTAAAACAAGTATTTTATTTTTTTAGGTAGGAAAATTGGTACTAGGCTTATCAGGAAGGACTGGACTTGACTGGTAACACTGACTTGATATATCATCAGGTCATCATAAGTAATCGTGTAAGTCATATATTCATCCAATCACCACTACGCATGGAATAAGTTTCGCGAACTTAAAGAAATTGTTATTCAGCAAAAATGTGGACTGATGGACCATGTAAGGAAACAGGAACAAGCACCGGACAACAATAAAAAAAGCATATCCGACATTGTATTTGGTAAAGAAATGGCCTTTCACTCCGTTAAATTTCCACGAAAAAAATAGCTCTTTCATTGTAGGTGTTGCGTCGTCTGGGTTGTCATGGACGGGAAAAGTTTCTTTCCAGTTGCTAGTTACTAATAGACAGAGTAGTCTTCGACGTTTATTCGCCAATCACAAAAATTTCTTCTCCAATTTCTTTTCTAGCATTTCAATACGTTTTATTCCTTTTTCTTCTCTTTCACTTCTCCTACTCCTTTCCCCTCCCTTCCTTAAAAGACTTTCCCACTCAACATTGGGCGTCACGGTGTCATTCGAAAAGCTCGACTTTGAAATGGCTAAATTTCGAACCCAGACTACGAAAACTGTTTCCTTCAGTGTAAAGCATTCGTCTAAGAGTCCAATAATGTTATGCAATAATTCCTATCTATTTGCTTTTCTTCCTGATTTGGTTCTTTAGTGCTTCCAAAACACAGTTCTTTACGTTTTTTCGTGATTAACGGAGAACGAGAAAGACACAAACGATATTTACCGCACCAAAAAGACTTCCTTCACAATGATTTATGCTAAAATCTTTTTAATTTCGTTTCAAAGGCAAAAAAATTTGTTGTTGATATCCAATTTGATCGGAAATTCATAAAGTAATTTAGAAAAACGGTCATGTTTCTGTTTTCAGCTACCACGCTCAGTATCCAGCAATTGCAAGCGTTGTATTTCAACCTATTCCTTAGTGAGTCATATAGGGCTCATTTCGACTAGAGGCTTTATCGATATGAGCCAGAAGCAAATTTCAATACGAATTGTGACTCATACTCCCGATGGGAAATCAATCTAATGACGAGAAAACTGGTTTTTGACGTTATTGTTTCTGCAAACCCACGTGTACACAAAAATACACCGGCATGGTCACGCAAACGCAAACGCAAGCGCAGACGCGGACACACACACGCACACACATGCACGCATACCCACACACATACATACACACACACACATACACACATGCATACATACACACACACGCACTCGCCTACAAACGTGCACATACAGAGATACACAAACAACACAAGCACACACAAACACACACACACGAGCACTGGACGTAAGCGGAAACTCACACACATACGCATACAGACATCCGTTTACATAGATGCGTTAAGGAGAACACATTCACACTATAAACACGTACATCTGCACATACATATGTACGCTTACAAAGCACGACGATTTTGGTAATGATGAGTACTTTTGACTTTTTCTATAGCTATGAGTTCCACAATAGCTCGAGAAGGGCAGTAGTTGTGGATGGTCTCCAAGACACAGTTCGTGAATCCAACAAATGGCGTGTTAGTCTTCAGTTCTGCCTGTGATTGCTGAAGAATTGTTGAATGAATTCGAGTTCTTTGTTTGTTGTTTGTTATGCTGTATTTTCTGGAACGAAAACGCTTCTTACGTGTTTCTCTCAATGCCAGTTAAGAATACTCGAATAACTCGATGTGGCAGTTGAATCTCTCACACATTTTGCTCACACCCTACCACAAGTATGATTCCATTGCTGCTAATTTACTATTGAATACTGATCTAAGCAATGGATGAAGAATAAGGCGGCTTTTGAGCATGCGTCATGCATTGAACTCCATTCATAGCATCGTAGAGGTTGTCGAATGCGCATTTGGACTATACAATGACTTGTGGGCATTTATAGATGTATTAGCCAGTGGTTTTTCTTTTCAGACAAGTCTGGTAGTAGGTTGTCGAGTTCAGAAGAATGGCGGAGTTGGTTTGTCTAAGGCGTGAGGTCAAACCGAGGTCTATGTACCTGCCGCAGGGTACCCTTAACCACCGTGCTATAATCCGCCATTTTATAACGTTACTATTATTAACACCACTATAGAGCAAATTAAGTCGTCTACGACGAGTTGGTCTACTAATGACAGGATTCACTGTTGACACAGGATTCGCCGCGCTCTTGTAAAATTCCTTGTTGCAAGGCGAAACATCTCCCATCGATTCACAGAGGGCGGTGACAAATCTTGAAGCGTTAGTCGAAGATGAGAAGTTCCTCTATCAAATCATTTCCACCGGTTTTTCTTTGCTATTCACTACTCACTGCACTAACTACGCTAAATACTACAGAAATATTTGAAAAAGACTGTCGTCGAACAGTGTTAGACTTAGATGTTTGGCTAAATTCATTCGCCCGCCCAAGAGTTCATATATTTTTGTAGGTATTTTACAACACTTTACTTTGGAGTAGCTCCCACCACCGACTTTCTATCAACCTCGGCATTGATCAAGTAATTCTTCGTATTTTATCGTGAATAAAGAATAATAACACCTCGCGTTTGCTCAACAAAAATACGAAGAATTACTTTTCTTTGGATTAATTTATAACTATTTCTTACACTTAGCGATTTATTTCATAGTAGACCTCAGATATTATTTTGCACCTACTCTCCGTGCGTTTTTTCTGTTTCGGGCATTTCACTGGATTCCTGGTGAAACCAGATCTATTCGATTCCTAGAAGAAGATGATATATTTTTCCGCCTCTTGTTGGATTCGTCCGAGTTTAGATTGTTTTGTTCCTTGTCCTCCGAATTCACTAAGTTCTAGAAAAAGTAAGCTTTCTTAATTTCCAGAAAAGAATGTTTCTGTTTTTGTTGTGCTCACTGCCCTTAACCATAGCGGTGTTCGACTGTATGATGGCTAAGGATGTAGGCATCGAATGCGACGACGAACCACCTCATCGAATGTTCTATTACGATAGCAAATACAGTAGGTTAATTGTTTCTTATTGCTTTTAATTCATGTTCATGTGAGCTGAATCCATACTAAAATTTTGTGTACTCCCGCATTTTTTCTTATTTGCTCTGCTGTCTCACATGCGTCACACACGAAAGTCTTCGGACTTGCGTGCAGGCTCGCCTGTTATTGAAGATTTCGATCCTTTTTTTCATCATCGCCAGCTATTGGGTATTTCGCTTCTGTTTCCATCACCTTCATGGGTACTGACTCAGTTGATTCTCTCCACCTGGCAGGCTGTGCTAGATGAAATGAAATGAGAAGTGCTAGAATAGCAGTGCTATCATGTTCCCACTTCTTCATGTCAGGCAACCTTTATGGGTTGGAGAATGCTTCCTGGTTGCCAATTTACCGACTTCAGAAGGGTGGAAGGCTCAGTTGGTTAGGCGCAGGCTTGAACCACTGACCATGTGTACGTTATTAGTTGGCATCTTTAGCGACTACGCTTCACTATCACCTAACCATTTTCACAAAATCGGTAATCTACCTGTGCAATAAAACACAACTTTCGACAAAATCGAACTTTTCTTGTTAAATACTTTTGAATTCGGATAGTGTATGCGAGCATTTTCTGCTTCTACCTTCGCTTATAAAATCTTTGAGAAATGATTTTATAGAAAATACGGTTAGGTATTTTAAACTAAAACTACTAAAACAAGCTAACGTTTTCTAAGACGTCAGAAAGTAGAAGAAATTCTTTTTTTCACTTATTCTCAATAGATAGATAGATAGATAGATAGATAGATAGATAGATAGACAGATATTCTCAATAGATAACATATTTCAGAGGTCTGCCAGCCATTCCGATATCTCGGATGTGGTGGTAACTCGAATCGCTTCAACTCGGCCGCAGAGTGTCGCGAAAATTGCCGCGCCGGACTCGCAACCGCGGTGGCTGCATCTCGGAGTGCAGCTGCTGGTGTGGACGACGTCTTCGTACCAAATGGAAACTCGCACGATCAATGGCTGAAAGGTTTTTGAAGTTATCATGAACGGCATCTTATACCCTATTTGTTCTGGAATCCGGTGAACTTTGACTGAGTGATGGTCCTAAACAGAAAACTGGCAAGGAGTCGAGCCAAACCACCAAACGAATACCGTAATCGGCGAGATTTTTTGAACGATGATGTTATAGAAGATTTTCATCGGATTCCGTAGCTATCGTCACTTTGTTTCATATTGATAACATTACGGAAATGATCGCTATTACATTTTGTGAAGAGTTTATCCCGTTTTCCCTAATAATAACTCACTGTCTTTCATATAAGTCATTTTTCTCATTTCTATAGAGGAACCATAAATGATAAATGTTCCAGCTGAAAGATGCGGTTCCAACTATTTGATTCCCAATGGGCAATACATCAAACCGAAACCTTACTGCCCATTACACCATGTGCTTCAGAATGGTGTGTGCTGTCCCACGAAAGGTGAAATTTTTTGCACAATTGAAATTCTTTCTTAATTTCCAGGTCTTTTTTTCACCATTACGGTGGTGCTCCATTAACTTGCTAAAAAATCGTTAAACAGATAAATAGAACGATAAAGCCGTCGGCGTTGATCACTCCCTAAGGAATGCTCCACGCATTCGACTTCATTACGTATCGTTGGAGGTGTTTGAATGCATATCTGGTCTTTACAATGACTCGCAATGGCCTACCGATGCATTGAGCCAGTACTCCTATCTTCGCGGACAAGTCTGGTACCAATTTGCCAACCCCGGAGGGATGGAAGGCTTGGTGGGCCATGGGCGCGGGGATCGATTTCGTGTATGTGTCGCAGTGGCGCCTCTAACCACTGAGCCACGCGCGCCCTAAGGATACAAAATGCATTCTCCTCCAATGGTAGTTGGCTTTGCAATGAACGTCTATCTGTAATGTTTACTTTTATTTTCTGCCTTCTATAATTTCTATGGCAGGGTATTAAGCGAAACACAACCACAATATTGCTGAAACATCTGCGGTCCGGAGTTGCAAATATCTCAGCAATATTGTGGTTGTCTACCTATATGTTAGGTTCTTTATCTTTTCATTTTAAACACTAAGATATATCTCCTCTAGATTTTGTTTGTTCGCTTCGTGACGATTCTGGACAGTTCGCCGAAGGCATCGAAGATCGACCACGGTGAGATTATTGATTTTTCAAATGATCCACCGATGATATCGGTGACGTTTTCTGTTTTATAGTTATTAAAATGGCAAATTAGGTAAACCTTAGCACTTTTTGCTGATGGGAACAATTTTCGGTCCTTGAGTTACATTTGGGACTTGTCTATGGGGCAAATCTTTTCTTGTTAATGTTGATCTTCTAGAGTTTTCTCTATTAATTAGAGTTTATTTAACTATTTATTCTGCTTGAAGACTGATAGATTTAGATTTTCATGGAATCATGCGGTGGGATCGTGCGATCGTTTCAGCTATTTCGGTGCTAATGGAAACTACAATAATTTTCCGAATTTTTACAGTTGTGTGAATTATTGTAAGGATTCGGAGAAGCTGTTAATAGACCCTGGTAGTTAAGGAAGGTTAATGCCGAAGACATCCTTCAATCTGTTATTTCTCGGCTAGAATTGTGGTTTTTGTGGATTACGGTATTATTGCACACTGTTTAAAACGCCTAAATCTCTACGGATGTACTTTTAGCACTCAAAATTCGTGAGCCATTTTCTTCGCTGTCGCTTTTATATCGACTGTGACTTTAGGTTTACCACATTTTGTTTCCCATTCGTTGTTTTTTTTTTGTGGATGTCAAATAATGAAGGAGTTATTCGAGGCATTAAAAGACATTTGAAATGATTTTTAACATCTTCCAGAAATTACTAGGAAGACTTTGTTCGAATGGTACAGTTTTTCGTCCTTCTTTCACTGACACCGAACTTTTATCAACACTGACTGCTTATTCATGTTGCCTGCCTTCACATATTAGGAGGACCACAGTACTTCCGTTCGGTTCGATTTCGTCCATCAATTATTTATGAAGGTCTAGGATTTGCGCGTTAGTTTGGTTGCTGTTTGAGGTTAGGTCTTCCTCATGAATGTCGTTGAATGCTAGTTGAGTTGGTTTTCCATGGGAGTCTAAGAAAGCTCTCATAAAACATTTCTAGGCTTTTAAAACAGGCGTTCGCCTACGTCTATAAATCGAAGGAATCTGTCTTCATACACGTCTATGTCAATTTACCGACCCCAGAGCAATGAGAAGCTTCGTTACCTCATAGCAGGATCAAATCAGAGGTCGTACGCTGTTATTGCCTGGTGCCTCTACAAGTTTTCATTTTTTAAAGAAATGAACACGTGAGCAAGTAAGATTTCCAGCTATATAGTATCATGAAGCACCTTTTCATGTGAACCATCGTTTTCACAGAATAGGGAGCGCTAGCATACTTTCCATCTTATTTGCTGACTTTCCACCCTCGTAGGTGAAAATCAAGTTTTTTCTTCCTTCATCATCTCTTTCACCTCACATTCTTTTCTCATATTTTCACCAAACTATTCCGTTTTTATCAATTTCACAGCATTTTTGCTAGATATGTCGAGCACATGTTAGAGTCAAAGGTGTTTATCAGATGCAAAAAAGAATAGTAATACCAATTTTTCCACGGGGCTTTGTAGAGTTTCATATGGGGCAGTTAAAATGTGGTTCCCTCCTAAATGAATCTACGAGTGATACGCGTCTCTGTGAATGTATGGTTGCCAAATATGTTCTAAATGCTATCTGGCGGAATATCCCTTCTATCGCCTTTTATTTCTGCTGTGCTAATTTTGGGTCCACTGTTTCTACTGTTGTAAAAGGAGAGAACTTTCGTGTAAATGTTCCACTGCAGAGGAGTTGTTGATAGGATTTCATAGCGCTTCGTAGTGAGCTGAGCAAGCCAAGAAAGAATATTGATTACTCGCCTCATGACTAAACGATGGTCGGTTGTGAAAAATAAAGATGTGGTGCTCAACGGGTTCCAAGAGCGCGCAATTCACCAATGCCCACTAGTCACTTGACGATTAACGGGACGGCATGTGGATTATTCAAGTGATATTTATGCAAAAGTTAAACAGTGGGCTTACTTACTTCTTTACCTAGCTTTTAGGTGATGATGTCTTTACTGTGGCATTTCGACGTCTTCGTCTTCATCAGAGCCGGTGATCACAGCCGTTGGTCCACAACTGGTCGTTTTTTCTACGTGACGTCACCATCTTCGTATCGAGTCGGATCTTCTTCAGTGGAGCACCTCATTAACTCGCTAAGTGTTAGCCAACACAATACCAACTACTGCAGAGTGCATTATTTGTTGAGAAACGAATTACTATCAACGGATATAACTCCTATAATGCTGAGATATTTGCAAAACTCTGGACCGTAGATGTCGGCTGTGGAGACCCAATACGCTATCTCTTTCCAGGGGCTAAGGTATTCATCACCACACCGTGTGCGTCGTCCATTTCGCGTTTCCCTTCGCTGTCCCTATGATGGTCACCTTTAAATACGTGCCATCATCCGTGTAGGTGTCTAGGCTTTTCTGTTCGTTTGGATGGTTTGTGAGCATTTGTTGCCTTCTATCCCATAGACTTCTTCAGAATACCGGCTGATGTGTCCATCTTCGACAAAATTTCTCATGTGTGCACTGTTTTTCACTTGACATCTAGAATATGGACGACATCCTTCGTAAATGTGGAATGCTCATTTTCTCTAGATCGCTGGAGTGGATCTGCTATTGCTCATTTTTTAAAGAAATGAACACGTGAACAAGTAGGATTTTCAGATATATCCTATCATGAAGCACTTTTTTATGTGAGCCATCCTATTCACGGAATAGGGAGGAAGGCTAGCATACTTTCCATCCCATTCGCTGACTTTCAGGCGTCTTAGGTGAAAATCGAGTTTGTGTTTGCGTTCGACTGCAGCCTCAGGATCTCTTGATTTCCCTCCTCAATGATAGGTTGAATACTCATTGAGGTTATTTTCATAGGATACCCCGAATAGTCATGCTCACCCTTCCATGATCTCCATTCCTGAGAACGGTAGAATAGGTGGAAGTTCCTTACGACTAGAATTTCTTCCCAACAGCTGCAATCCTAACAATCACTCAACCACACGATCGATGGCGGTGGAAATCTCTCGTAGGAGATATAAAGTAATAACACTTTTTAGCACTGTTTTTAGGTTGGGCATGCGTTGCCTATGGGTCAGGAGTGGCCTGTGATACACATAGTTGGCGGTTACACCGCATTAACCAAGCAAATAAAGACTTCCATCCGTCCATCCGTTTTACTACCACACCTGCCTGGAACGGCTCCAAATGCTGACTTGATACAACAGTAGACCTTCAAAAATGATAGGGTTAAATACCATTACCTATAATACTATAACTAATGCCAATACCATAACTATATCTGTGATCCGCAAATGGAGTCGAATGCATAATATATACCTAAGATAATGTGATCAATGACGAACGCTTTATCTTGCATCCTTTTTGCTAAATCAGTGATAGTTTTATCGACGTCACCAGATACAAAGTACTTTTTTACACGACCCGTTTTCACACTTACTGTGCGGATCCGAGCGCTTCCTGCGTTCGGCGGGTTTCGTCATATGCATGTATATATATATATTTTTTTTCCACAATGGTCTTGGAACCTTTTATGTGTAGGTTTTGCTGCTGCTTGAGGATTGTTGTATGCTGTTGCTGAATGCTATTCGACTCGTTTCCCACTGGATTACTGGAGTAGACTCATTATGAACGGTACCACTCACTACTACTAGTACGCATTCCGCATCTTAATACTAACTATTAGTTCGATAAGAAAAATATTTATGCATGTTTGGTCAAAGCTGTTTGGTTTGTTTAATTGGGCAGGAAATACAATACTCCATCCTAACTTGAACGAAGTCTGTAGTCTTCATAATCTGGAAATCTTTCGAATTCCGGTTGTGGTGTAAGTTTCAGGACAGCAGCTCTGAGATATTAGTATTTTTTGATTATAGCTGACAAATGTATGACATCAGCATTGATGTTAGAAATTGGCAGTTAGATTTCAACTAAAATTACGTTTAACGTCATGCCACCGAATTATTCTTACGCCTATATGAAGTGTCTCTTGGAAACAATACGTACTGACCGTGCCAGAGCAGAGAGTGTCGCCAGATCTCTAACCAGTATCATTTCTAATCTAATTATGAACTGACAACTATTTATTTATTCTTACCCGTTCCTACTTCTGTTTCCATTCACTGAGTTAAAAAAACATGTCGAAGTTCAACATACAAGTGAAAATATTGCAGTGTTTCAGTGTACCATGTAAAGACTCGTAAGACACAATATTATGTTGTCCATAAGCCTAGTATTCTCAAAAATGCTAAGTCTCTCTTTGAGGGCTTTCTTGTAACAGGAGCACCAAGGACGATAGAATAACTAGTACATGAGGTTGAATATAGGCAAACGCTCATATGATCGATAACTATCTCTGACATGCTCGATTTCTAGCCACACTGTATCCCGTTGCTGTTGGCGCTGTATCGATCGCAGGTTCCAGTTTGTTGGACTGCCTAACAGAGACTTCGAACTCGCTGACTACTCTCCACATACGAAATAATGGGACTTTTCTGGGATTTTGCGCGTTGAAATAGTAATAAAAGAATGAGGAGTATATTTCTTAAAGTAAGAAATAATATATCTATGCATACGGATAAGTCGGTGTAGTCTCGTAGGCGACATAGACAACGATGGCTGCAGTAATACTTAAAAAGACGAGGAACACCGTGATTCCAGCACACATCGTTTTATAGATTTCCCTGCGTTGCTGAAAGGAAAAATGGTCCTGAGCAAATACCGGATTACGTGAACTGATTTTTTTCACCATGTACTTTGATGTGTTCTTCCCACTGTGCTACTGGCCTGCTTTGCCCTACAAAGGAGTTAATGGAAACATTGTCGGCGGCGGCTCGAGGTCGCTCGACAACGATGAACAGGAAGAAATGTGAAAGGAGATAAAGGAAAAATGACGTGGTAAAGCACGCCGGACCTCTAGATTGGTATCGCACGACGTTGACGTACATGCGGCCAAGCTTTATACCAACTATGTGTAGTCCCTTCACCTCACGTGTATACATTGAAATCAACTCATCCGGAATGGTTAGAAGTTTAAGGGTAGAGCAGCTTTTTACAGACGACATTTGCTACAATATGTGTTCGACAAGCTATCGATTGAGTACAAAGGTCATGGGAAATAGCCTTCTCGCAGGCAATCGGTAAGCACACGTATTGAAATCAATGCATGAAATCACTTCATGCTAAAAATTGAGCTGATGTTCCGAAACTTCTGGGAGATATAGCTCCGAATTATTCAATATGCAATTATCTTTTAGAATTGAAGAAAACGATCAGTTGTTTTTGTTTCGTTTTTAAACCGTCCTCGTTTTCACCCAGTCTTTCTACTGGAACCTTTAAAAAATCACTTAGGTTCAAAATCGTTTCCGACTTCCGTTATTTATTTTTGTAAAAAGAAAAAATTCTGGTGCCAGATGAGTT